CCCGCGTCCCCTGCATCGGCAGGTGGACTCTCAACCACTGCGCCACCAGGGAAGCCCTTTTTTTTTTTTTAAAGATTTTTTTGATGTGGACAGTTTTTAAAGTCTTTATTGAATTTGTTACAGTGTTGCTTCTGTTTTATATTTTGGTTTTTTGGCCTTGAGGCATGTAAGATCTTAGCTCCCCAACCAGGGATCGAACCCACAACCCCTGCATTGGAAGGCGAAGTCTTAACCACTGGACCGCAGGGAAGTCCCAGCCACGCTCTCTGAATTGCGGTCGCTTTATAATAGTCTTGACGTCCATTGAGAAAGTCTTCCTGTCTTGTCTCCTTCTTCCAGAATGTCTTGGCTTCTTGCCCTGGTATTTCACTGTCAGTTTGTGTCAGGTGCCACAAACACACCTGTTGATGTTTTGGTTATCGTTGCCTTGAGCAGTTTGAGGAGAAATAGCACGTTTGCATTACAGTGCCTTCTAGCAAATGGACATAATAGTTTCCTCGGTTCATTCAAATCTTTTTCAACCTCAGTACTGTTTTATAAGTTTCTGGGGGGAGACTTTGCATATTTTTTGTAACACATATTCTTAGATATTTGGCATGTTTATTTAAATCTTATTATAAATAGTATCATTAAAATTTTTATTTGCTGTTTATTGATGGCACATAGATATTAAATGCTATTTGCATATTGCTGTCATATCTGATAGCCTTGCTGGTTTCAGTTACAGGGTTCATGATATGTGCAGTCACGTCTCCTGCAAATAATGACAGTTTCGTTTCTTATTGTTTTACCTTCTCTGCCGCTTTCACCCCAGTCGCATTGGCTGAGACTTTCGGTAAAAGGCAGTTGTCCTTGACTTACTCCTGCTCTCTGAGGGAGAGCTTTCAATATCTGACCATTAGTTATGATACCGCCTGTGGAATTTTTAACAATCACATTAAGGAAGTTTCCTTTCATCCCAAATTTAAGAAGGATTTTTGAAATCCTGAATGGTAAATTATTTTAGTTTTTTTCACCTTTTTTCTGTTAATGTGGCAAATTATGTTGATTTTCTGTTAAACCTCTTTGCATTGTTGCAGAGAGGTCATGATGCGTTTTTCTTTTTATAAATATCTGGATTCAGTTTGGAAATCTTTACGTGTTACAGTTACAGTTATTAACATCTTGAGTTGACCTTTCTATTTAGGCAAAGGCAGCGGTGTTTTGAGGTGACCATTTTTTTCTCAGGCCCCACAGTTCACTTCTCTCACAACGTTGTGCCCGAGTTTAGACTATTTACAGCAAAGGGCGTGTGGTTGCCGTGCGGTTGCCCAGGGGTGGGGAGGGTGAAGGACGGCTCTGTCTTCCTGTGTTGCTGCACCGCGCAGGGTGAGTGGGAGGGCTGCTTCCAGTTTGGGGTGGACTCAGGCGTTTCTGTCTTCCTCCCCCTCTCCCCCTGCCCTTCACTGTCCCGTGTATCACGTGCCGCGTTCCTCAGGGAAGCACCCACAGGGCTGGGCACCTTCAGGAGGGGTCCAGACGCTCGCCTCCAGCCGCCTGTGGCTCTGCCAGGTTCCCTAACATCTCCCTGACTGTCTCCTCTTGAGTGAAAGCAGAGATGAAGATGGACCCACCTCATGAATTGTTGTTGTAAAGGTTGAATGACTTATATGCCACTCTTATAAGGGATATAATTGAGACATGTTCAGTGACGTGAAAGCGCACGCACAGTGCAAGGTTGATTGAAAAAGGATGAAGTATGATCCCATTTCTTAAAAATTCTGCATACGTGTGTGTGTGTGTGCGTGTGTGTGTGCGCGCGTCTGTGTGTGTACATATATAACAGAAAGAATGCTTTTTTCAGCTGGCTTTTCTATATTCTAAATTTTCTATAATAAATAAAATGCTGTTTTACTTTTCTGTTAAGAAAAATAAATCTGTAAGTTGTTTCTAAGAGAAAACTTCATTGCAGCATTGTGCAAAATAATTATCGATTGGCAACTACCTGAATTTTCAGCAATAGAGTAATAATGGTATGTTAATGGGATGTTATGATTGCTACATTAAAATGTTAATTATTGGTTTCTTAAATTTTACATTGCTTAGTATTTTTATTTTATTTTAGGCAAACTTTGGAGTCGGAGTTTAAAACTAGCTTATACTCTACTTAATAAACTGACTAGTAAGAATGAACCACTCCTTAAACCCGGAGACAGAGTAAGTAACCAAGTGCACCTTTGTTGGAGTGAGTGAGAATGGAGACTAAAAATCTGTTTCATTGACGTCAGTGTTCTCTCAGTTGTTCAGACTTACAGCATTAATACAAGGGATTTAAGTCAGCAATGAAAAAATACTAAATGTGGAAAAAGTTTGTGTTGATGTAGGTAAAATGATCGTTCCTTTTATTCTCCCTTACTGCCCCTTTCCTGATTCTTAAACCTCTTTTCTCTTTGACTTCATATGTGTTGATTTTAATAAAAATATTAATGTCAGATATTAATCAGTGCTGCATTTCCAAAGCTTAAGTTTTGTGAAGAAATGCTGACCTTACTTTGAAACTCGGTGTGTCGTTTTATATTCATCTCCTTCCCTCTTCCATGTGGCCAGAACAGAACTCAGAGGAGGCTTGGGGCTTGGTTCCTCGTCCTGCACTGCCCAACGTGGTTGGCAATAGCCACAGGGGGCTGCTTAAATTAACCCAAATTTAATGAAATTAGAGTTTTAGTTCCCTAGTTGCACGAGCCCCATTTCCAGGGTTCAGTCACTGCGTGTGGCTGACAACTAGCTACCATATTTGATAGCTTGGAGAAAAAACGATTCCACCATTGTGGGAAGTTCTGCTACACAGCACTGCTCTAGGCAGACTGAGCCAGGCTTGGGGAGCCCTGGTGTAGCGGGAGGTCCAGCATGGTGAAAGCCAGCATACTCAGCAGTGAAATCCCCAGTGAGAAAGCTTGCCTGGGGTCAGGTCACCCAGCAGGGAAGCTGTAGGTTGACAGGATGGTGTGGGGTTTCGGACGGCTCTCAAGTGCCTCAGTCTTTAATGTGGACCAGTAGCCAAGGACATTTATGGACCACGAAACTTCAACATGGAAGAACACGACCAAAGGGCAAAAAATGGGGAAAAAAGGAAAAGGGGAAAGGGCGGGGGAGGGGGAGGAAGAGGAAGCAAACCGACCTGGAGGAGAGCTACATACGGGAAAGTTTTGTTTTGTTTTAAATTAGTCTTCATGTCCCTGGAGACCTGAGGTGAAGGTATTGCTCCATAAACCGACAAGAAGCTGGTAGTGGGGGAGACCGAGATGGAAAGCAGGGAGGAAAAACGGTGCGGATTACACCTGATCAAGAAGGCCGACATCTGACTAATGGGGCTTCCAGAAAGAAGGGGGAACGGAGAGTAGAAAGTTTTTAATGCTGACGATGGTGCAAGACTGTACCCTGGAGCGGGGGGTGAAGGACCGGCAGGCGGTGCCGGGACCCCCACCGAGACGCTCACCCCAGTGCCGCGTAGGGCAGGGTGCAGGAACCTCGCGGCCTCCTGGGGAAAGTGGGCTGTGCACAGAGAGGGCCTCAGTTTCTCAGCCTGGCACTGGGGGAGACGGCTGTGCTTCGGAAGCCCAGAGGGAGTGCGGTCTTCCTGGGCAGTCGACGGATGTGAGGGTGGGGCACCATTCTCAGACAGGCAGGACTCAGAAGACTGGGCTCTTTCTTGGGAAGCTCACAGAGGGAGCTCCCGCATACGAGTGAGTGGCCCGAACGGGAGAGCCACCAGGGTGGCCCAGGGTGACCGCGAGCTGCGGGCGAGGAGCAGCCGGACAGGACCAGGAGGGCGAGGCCCCAGGTGGGCAGGCTGGTCAGCAGCTGGTGAAACCCAGGAGCTTACCTGACTGGTTGGCTATTTAGAAATACTACTGACAGGTTTGACACACCCAGCGGGGCGTTTCCGAGCAAGCTGGCCGGTGCACACAGAGGAAGGGAAGCCAGTGAAAGAGGCAGTGGCTGTCACCACCAGAGAGGAGGGGCACGCTTGGCTGTAGAAACGTAAATAGTACAGGAATGATCCCTTATGATACCTGGCGCTTTAGAACAAACCTGTCGGTACCCCTGACTTATGTTGTGCTTTAAAATGGTTCTAAGAATCACAAATTTCTTTCTCTTGAAGAAAGTTCTTGTAAGAGGACAAGGACTTCCAGATACTTCACTGACTTGCAAGTGAATCCACGTAACTGGGTTAATTATAAAGGATTGATGAGATCACAGCGGTTGATTTAGTGATTGGAAATGAATGGCAAGTTCATCCTCCTGTGATAATATACTTTATAAAAGTGAACAAACACAACCTTTATAACATTCTCTAAGGACATGTATGTTCTACCAGACATCCAGTCTCAAGGCTAAAGGTCACAGTTCTTAATCGTGGGACAAATGCTTTTAACACCAACTTTCAAAGGAGAGCTTTGCCGTTTTCAACAAACTTATTAGAAACTTGATTTCCAGGCCTCAGGTACAGAATTCTGACACAGATACAGCTTAAATTTTGTCTTGTGAATACAGGGTTGTTAATTATCCAAAGCCCTCGGAGGCCCTGTGTTAACGGCCCCCTCAGATACTGCTCTGACTTATCATGTAGGTTTCGAGCACACTGCTATTACAATATTTGGGACTTAGAAAAACCTCATCCCGTAAATAGCTTCTGACTTAACCGGACATTATAAGAAATGGAAATTGGGATGGTGGGAGAAGAGAAAGGTGGGGAATGAAGAGGGCTCAGTGTTTGTCTACAGTAACAGGAAATAAAGCACACGTCCAGATACCTTCACACGTAACACACAGCAGCGTGAGCATAGTATGGAAAAAGATGAGAGCAGTTGGCAAAAAGAGGATATAAAACATGTTAAAAGTGGCTGTCTTGGGGAGTGGGGAAGGGTTATATGGGTGTTGCTTTTCGTTAGTACTTTTCGTCATTTTGATTCTGTGTTTTAAAACTTTTTTCATAAAAATAAAAATGTAAGGTAAATGTAATAGAATGTGTAATTTAAACAGTGGCAGCATGATGACCAGGTGGGAGCAGGGAGTGGGCCTCCCGTGGAGACTCTGAGAGGGCAGCTGTAGGGGTCTTGCTGAGTTCTCTGCCCACCACCCTCCTCTGTTAATGTTTCGGTCTTGAGCGAAGGTCTGTCCAAGTAAAACGTTGGTGTCAGGATTTTTTCTTTTGGAAGACATTTTGATAGACTTTGATTCCTGGTTCCCTCCTCATGTCCAGTTGTTTTTCACCTGGGCTACTTGATGGTGGGTGATGGTCCATCGCGTCCTTCCCTGAGTCGCTGCTGCCCAGATGGTCAGAGTGGACGGAGCTGGACCTAGACCCCGCGGGCAGACCCAGCTACGCTTGCCTCTAGCCCCAGGAGTTTAACGTTATTTTGTCGCATGCGGGGTAAAGACCGTAACCTAAAGACTGTGTATTAGAAGTTACATGGCTGCAGACACTTAAGGACCAAGGGTTAGCACTCAAAGTAACGTTTTCTGTCTCAGCAGCAGGCATTCAGATGACTGAATTACTCACCCGTGGATTTCACGGTTTTCCTTTGTACTCTCGTAGGTGGCGCTGGTGTTTCCTAATAGCGACCCTGTCATGTTCACTGTTGCGTTCTATGGGTGTCTCCTGGCAGAGCTGGTTCCTGTCCCCATCGAAGTGCCACTAACAAGAAAGGTAGCAAGTGCGGTGCAGGCCCCAGGTTCACGGTCCCTGAGGCTGCATCCTGAAGTCCACGTGTCCATTCGCAGGCCTTAGTCTCCTCACTCCAGGTGCCGTCTGGAGCCGGGGGACAGGCCGGCGGGTCTCAGAGAGATTAGAGCAGCTTCATCTCCAGACGCTCCTTTTATGTATCTCGCTGGTGACAAGGGCACTGGAACCGCTGTTGGTGGGGCCAGTATCACTTGCTTGAATTTCCCAACAGAAACTAACATTTTCTCCTCCAATGCATAGAAGTTGGGGTTTGATGAGGTTTTGTTAAATCATTTCTCAAAATGGTGTGTTTATTGATAATAACTTTCATTTCTTGGGGATAAGTAAATCATTACAGAGATGTCTTTTAGCTCACTTCTAAGTGATAGTTTTAAACATAGGACATTCTCTTGCATTTCTGTTCACTTCCATAACAGCGAGCAGCTTTCATCGCTGACAGATGACTTCTGGCCGGGGCAGGGGGCGGGTTGCTGGTGTTCTAGGTAGCTATTACATTTTAGGTATAAATACCAGTAATCTGATTATTGAAGAATAGATCATTTTAGGAGTAGATTCAGCATGTATTTTAGAAAATCATAGTTTTCTATGGTATCCCAGTGTTCAGGCAGTTGTTCACATGAGCATTATCAGCAAGAGATATTCAAGAATCCCAAAGGTAAAGCTTGTGAATAAAAGCAGTATATCCCAAAGGATAATATATGACGAACAGATATTTGAATACCAGGATTCTTAGGGTAGAACTAGAGTTTGTAAAATTTATAAGAAGAAAATGATAAAACTCTACTGAAGGACATATTCTGTGTGGAAATAATTAAGATTGCTAAAGGTCAGGCCTGCCCCTATTAATCAGTAAATTTCAAACACAAATCAAGTGTAAATTTCAATGCTGTTACGTTTGGAGTTTATTAAAACAGTATTAAATGTCATCTGCAAGAAAAAAGTTTGAGAAATTAGCCCATTACCCAGAACTTTATATGTCATGGCAGAAAATATATCTTTCAAATTTAAAAACAATTGTATTTTATTTGGATGAAAACATAGTATATACCTATAGTATATACCTACACAGGGCTGAATTGTCCCAATTTTCCACGGGCTGAGAAAAAGAGTTCTGCTCTGTGTGAGCTGAGCACCTCTGCCTTCTCTGTTTCTGCAGGACGCTGGCAGCCAGCAGGTCGGGTTTCTGCTGGGCAGCTGTGGCGTCGCCCTGGCCCTGACCACGGACGCTTGTCAGAAAGGCCTGCCCAAGGCCCAGACCGGAGAGGTGGCGGCCTTCAAAGGTGGGCCTGTGGGCGGGCAGCGTGTGGCCCAGTTCTCTGCCAAACCGGGCCCTCGGGCGTCCTTTCCTGTCAGTGACTGTTACAGAAACGGAAGGGCCTTCAGGAAAAGCGAGGCCGTGTTCTAGGCCTTGGGGAATCTTGCTCCTCGCCTGGGTCAGGCTCTCGACCTGTGCTGTCCAGCCTGGGGGCCACTGGCCGTCAGACACATAAGTTCATAAAGGTTCAGTGAGGCGAGGCTCCTCAGCTGTCAGCAGCTCGGGCTGCGTGTTGGGTGGCAGAGGCGCCGTTGCGGGGAGCAAAGACTCCTGACCCTCGCCTCTGCCGTGTCCCTGTCTGCACCCTCACAGGTTGGCCCCCCCTCACCTGGCTGGTGATCGACGGGAAGCACCTGACTAAGCCCCCCAAGGATTGGCACCCATCGGCGCAGGACGCGGGGGCCGGGACCGCCTACATCGAGGTAGCCACCTCGCCTGGCGAGGCTGAAACAGACCCCCGTGTTCAGGGCTTGTTCCCCGAGTGTAGCTGCTGCTGCTTAGATCACAGGCAACAGCTTCTGTGCTTTGCCTTCACCCCAGAAAGATGAGGTGTCTTGTGGGAACTCACTGAGATCCTCCCCTGGGGACCAGCCTGCGTGCACCTGTTGCCCTCGGTACCTGCCCAGGGTGACCCGACTTCAGCTGAGGGTGTCACCTTGAGGGCCTGGGCATGAAGTGCGCTCCAGTTGAACCGATGGTTGGTGAAGGGGGACGGCCTCCGGAGACATCGCCTAACGAGCCTGTGCTTTTGAAATCTTTCAGTATAAAACCAGCAAAGAAGGCAGCACCGTGGGGGTCGCGGTGTCCCACGCATCCCTGCTGGCACAGTGCCAGGCTCTGACCCAGGCATGCGGCTACTCAGAAGGTGAGGGTGTGGGGCGGCTCTCCAGCCGGGCACAAGGCACCTGGACGCTGTCCGCGTAGCATCTGCTGTTTAATCCAGGTCGTGCGGCTCGCGAGCTCGGGGCCTCTGCTCTCCTGGACAGGTGGAGTTTGGACATTGGCGTTACAGAGCGTGAAACCCACTCACTACCCATTGGTCTGTGCCCAGTGGGCTGGTTCAAGCTGTGCCGTAGCTGAGGGGCAGTGCATTTTGCATTTTCTTATCGGGGCACACTTTTTCTTACTGTTTTCTGTGGCTGGCTTTGGCTTAAGCTGTCACACACTCGGATGTACCAGTGGAATATTTGTGGTCAGGGCTTGTCTCCTGGCAATGTACCGGCAGCTCCCCCTTTACTGTGAAATATCAGCGAGGTAACGTAGAGAAGTTTACTTCTTTCCACTAAAATACTGGAATTGAACAAAACTAGGAAGTAACTTGAGTGGTATGTGTAAAATCTGAAATATCAGTGTTTAGAAGCAAGGGCTAGCTGAGGGCACCGGGCAAGACTTCGGTGGACATTTGGAAAAGGATTTTAGGTGTGTTCAAGGGCCTACGTAATTTTTTTTTAATTCTATCACATCAGGTCCCCTGGTTTTCTTTTTCTTCAGATCCAGTGCTAACCATACGTGTATCACCTATAATTTGGGCTCTTTAGCCAACAAGGGAACGTGTGCACAGTATTCTTCTTATCAGAATGCAGCAGCATTTCCTGGCACACAAACCAAACTTCCTATTCACTGTTGGGTGTTCCTTCTGTGGGTGCACCTGGCAGCCCCAGGCTCTGTCCTCTGCCTGAGCTCTGAGCTCAGGGCTGTGCTGAAGCGGCCCTGGGACCCCAGCTACCGCTGCGCCCTACAGCACGCTCGGCACAGCCTCTGGGAGAGAGAGTGGGCAGGAGGGAAGGAACATCTCTGAAGGGAAGTGACATGGGGAGCCTGTGACATTTCCCAGGCCTGCAGGATGACGTGAGAAGTGGGGGTGCGCGGGCGTAGGGTTGGGAGGTGAGAGACCCGCCACGGTCCCTCATCTCCACGTCCAAGCCTGCAGCCTCTGGAGTGTATATGCTGCTCCCTGTGTTTCCAGATTAGTGATCAGCAGATTCTCCGTTTTAATCCACAGTTGTATGACCTTCTACTTTTATGTTTTTCCAGTAATTTGAATAACCAAGTAACCTGATAACCAAGATTATTGATTGATTGGTGCATGGCATTTGGGAGCGCTGTGTATCTTTCCTGAAACTCTTATATGCTGATGATGTAATCATCTCAGGGTTTGTCTGAAAATGCACATGACTTGTGAGGAGGGTCACTCCCCACAAGTCATGGTTAAACACGTGCTTTAACCATCTTTGTCCTCTTTCAGCTGAAACGTTAACAAATGTGCTGGATTTCAAAAGGGATGCCGGCCTGTGGCATGGAGTGTTAACAGTGAGTGCTGTGTCTAAATGACCTGACTGTTAGAGGGAGGGTTGCTAACATTTCACGTCTGTGGGTGACACCAAACCCTATTATAGCTGATGGAGTAACCCTTAGTCGTGTTGGTGTGAACGGTGTCTCTGGACTGAGCTGTCCTGTGAGCAGAGCTCTGATGCTCTCTGTGCCTTTCCTGGCGGGGCTCGTGCCCAGCCCCGACCGCTCGTCTCTTTGCAGAGTGTCATGAACAGGATGCACGTGGTCAGCATCCCATATGCGCTGATGAAGGCGAACCCACTCTCCTGGATTCAGAAAGTGTGTGCGTATAAAGGTAACGGAAATAGCACCATCTCTCCATTCATCCTTCGTTAGAGAAGGCTCTTTGAATTCATCTTTGGCGATAAGAAAAAATAAAGCAGCATGCAGAACCGCAGGCGTGTGTGGGCCGGGGCCAGGCTCCCCTACAGCCGTGGTGGGTCTGAGTTGCCAGCGCTGGGGAGCTGGGGGGTTGTGGAGGACAGCTCTTCTCTGCAAGGGCCGTAGATTCCTAACTTTATTCTCTCACAGAAATGCTCCTAATTCTTAGTTCTTGAGGTGGTTTTGATTTGAAGTTAGGGCTCTTCAAGCCACCAGTAGCAAAGCCGTTTACTCAAAGCGGCTTATGACCCAGAGTGAGGGGGCTGCCCGTGGGGCCCAGCCTGCCCTGCTGTCCACCTGTGGTCAGTCGGTGCTTCCCCAGCATGGCCACACCTGCGTGGTCTGAGTGTCCCTCTGGCTCTGCTTCGGCGGAGCTCGGGGGCACCTTTGGTCACCCCTGAGGGGGACTCTGGCTTTCTTCGCACTGACTTGTCCCGGGTGGCCGTGTGCTTGCCGACTGCACCGATGATGGTGCCAGTTACTGATGTGGACGTGGGCCGTGCTCTGCGGCGTGTTGGGCGCTGTCTCTGTTTACCCTAACGGGGGAGAACCGAAGTCCGGTGGGGCGTTCGGCGGGTGCCTCTGCTGGTGAGAGCAGGGCCGGGAGTGAGGCCCAGCCCGTCTGTTCACATTGGGGGCCTCCCTGCAGCCCCACGTCCCCGGGGGCCCCCAGCACAGGGCAGGCCCAGCCTCACAGCTGTGGGAGGGGCAGCTCGAGAGGGAGGGGCAGGTGTGGGGAGAGCCGAGAGGCTCCGAGAGAGAATCGGTTGCGAAAGAGCGAGTTGATTTCTAGGTAGGCCGGGCGGGGCGGCCGTGCGGGGCGGCCGGGCGGCAGGGAACACGCGGCCTGCTCTGTGTGCATGCGCCCCTGATGCAGGCGTGTCCCCGCCCCCCCCACAGCCCGGGCCGCGCTGGTGAAGTCCCGCGACATGCACTGGTCGCTCTTGGCGCAGCGAGGTCAGAGGGATGTCAGCCTCAGCTCCCTGCGCCTGCTGGTCGTGGCCGACGGTGCGAACCCGTGTGAGTACCGCCTGCCCACCCCTGCCCCCGCGGGCCGGCCGCCGGGGCTCAGGGCTGAGCTGGAACGTGTCGGGTGCCCCGTGGACATGGGTGCGTCTCCTGCTCTGTGACTCGGGGTCTCGTGGTGACTCACGGGTGCGTCTCAGACGTGTTTGTCAGGCCTCTCTGTTTAAAGTGGTTCTGACCAGTGGATGGGAGGTCCGTGCCCGAGCGGGTCTGACCAGAGTGTAGATACAGCCAGAGCCCGGTTCAGGCTCCCAGCCTGTGGCCTGTGCCCCACTGCACTGGCTTGGCCGCTGCGCGTTCCCGGCCGCCCCGTGTCCTCCCGGGGAGTTTTCTCACTGCTTTAACACCTGTGTGTCACTGTTCGTGCACTGAATCCACCCTGGACCAGAGGCTGCCTTTCATCTAATACCCTGTCCAGCTGTGGCCCCGACACTCGGGAGGGCACCCTACATTCTAGCACCCCAAAGCCTCTCGTTCCCTCCACCCACCCCGAACCCCGAGGGCCCCGCCGTCCTGCCTCCAAAGCACCAGGAGCTGCCGGCTTCTCTGAGCCTCCACTGCGGTGCACCCGTCGAGCCACCAGGAGCCCGTCCCGGGGCTGCTGCCCCCCAGACCCCAGATCCCACAACTCCAAGTGCCCGTCACTTCCCTGTAGCTCCGAGCCCTCTGGACGGTCTTGTGTGTCCTCTCCTGGACACAAGGACCCATGACCAGGTCCCCTCCTTCCCTGGAGCCTCGCTGTGCAGAGAGAAGGTATAGGTCATGGTGCAGCCCCGGGGCCCCAGTGTGTGCAGGGCTGTGTTGACTCAGGTCCTGAGCGGGCAGCACCCAGCCTCCTAGGAGCTGAGTTTTCGTGGCCCGGTGACGCTGGCGGAGAAGCAGGGATAGAGAGCTAGGCTGTGCCCACAGGAGAGGCACGGCAGGGCTGCTTGGCAGAGGCTGCAGCTCCGAGGCACGCCCAGGAGAGGGCGCGCACGTGGCCGGGGCCTCAAGCGGTGGAAGGTTTGGCTGCGGCTCCATTAGTGCCCTGGGTCACCTCCCGCTTGGCAGAGCTGCCAGGAGGCGGGTGAGGCCGTGGGTTAGACCTCAGAGACAGTGCGGGGCTGAGAGTTGGCTGCTTGTTTGCTGGCGATTTGAGAACGCGCCCTGTTTTTCATGGAAAGAGCCCCACCCCCTCCCCATGAGACTTTGACTGAGGTGAAGGGGTGCAGCCTCCAGGCCTGGCGCCGGGCGTCCGCCACGCCACGTGCCCGTCGGCCTTGCACTCAGCTCTTGCGTCCACTCTGTCTCACGCAGGGTCCATATCCTCCTGTGACGCGTTCCTCAACGTCTTCCAGGCCAGAGGGCTGAGGCCGGAGGTGATCTGTCCCTGTGCCAGTTCCCCGGAGGCGCTCACGGTGGCCATCCGCAGGTAGACCATCCTGTAGACGCTTAGTTCACCCTCGTTCAGCCGAATTACCTGTGGTAGCAGATTTGGTTGATCTGTTCCTGAGCAGGAGAAATCGAGAGCAGCGACCGGCCCTGGGCCCGTTTCCCAGGTGTGTTGGTGTTGTAATGGGGCAGCCCCAGGTGCCACGTCCAGCAGCCTGTGTTGGCCGCATGTCCCACACCGGCCTGGTTTGTGGCGCAAGTTCGATAGCGGCTCCCTGGGTCGCGATCTCTGGATTCTTGCAGCACGCGGGCTGGTTTTCCCGAGTGTTCCTCCGATCAGGAAGGCCTTGTGTCCCACAGTAAACACTGCAGCCAGGACTCGCCCCTGTTCCGGGGCAGGGTGGCCGGCGGCCAGTGTGCATCAGCTGTGGACGGGGGTCTGTGCCTGCGGGACCCTTGACCTCACAGTGATGCCCCCAACCCCACCGCCCCCAGGCTGCATTGTCTCTGGGCTCATCCATGTCGCTCCCCAGGCCTCTGCAAGTGTGCCCCTCGGCTCACCTTCCTGCCCAGGTCGTCCATGCTGCCCTGAGCGCCATCCTCGGGTAGAGGGCAGCGTCCTCGCAGCTGAGGGTGACTTAGTGTTAATTTTCCACCCTCAACTCAAATTAGCCTCAGCTGTGGTCTTGTGTTATGTCTGTGTATTTATAAGTAGTGGTGTAAGTGCTCGTAAAGTTTTAGTAATAATCAGCGTTGAAAACAGCGTCTTTATTCTTCACAGACCGTAAGGTGCTCTTCGTCCCTTTGTTCTGTGGTGGTTCCTTGTGCTCAGCAGAGTAGTGTTTTCCCGCTGGAGAAGATACGACATTTGTTTCTCAGCAGCCCGGTTCCTGCTGCTGCGAAACTAATCAGGCCCAAACTTGGCGTCGCAAACAGCAGCAGTCACTTTCCTCCCTCTCCTGCTTCCCACTGTCAGGAATTGGGAAGGGCTGCTCAGGGCAGTTCTGCCGGTAGTTCGATGGTCTCGGGCTGGCACGGGCTGGGGAGCGGCCGGCACTTCGTTGTTCCTGCGTGCGGTCCCAGGCTCCTCCCCCTGGCTTTGGTGCTCACAGGCTTGCTCCCAGGAGGCATGTCGCTCTGCTCACGTGCTGCTCGGGGCTCCGGGGGATGTCCCAGGATGGCCTGGTGGAAGCGTCCTTGCGGCCCACAGGGCCCCCCTGCAGAGGAGTGCGTGGGGTGGGGCGTCGTGCAGACCTGTGGGGACACATGCTGCCCCCGAAGGTCCTGCAGCCAACGTCCCCACAGCCGGCGCAGACGGGCACCTGGCTGCTCATCGTCCTGTCGGCAGGGGGCCGTGGTCCCACGCCCACGGGCTCTGTCCCCTCGTCAGTTAATCAGTTTTGTTTCCAGGCCGCCTGACCTGGGGGGCCCTCCTCCAAGAAGAGCTGTGCTGTCGATGAGCTGCCTCAGTCACGGCGTGATCAGACTGGACGTGGAAGAGAAGCTCTCGGTCCTGACGGTTCAGGACGTGGGTCAGGTGATGCCTGGAGGTGAGGTCACAGCTGGGGATGGTCTTGTCCTGCGGCCGGGTGGCAGCAAAGGCTCTGGAGCACGCGAGCACCAGAGGGCTTCAGGTGATGCCCCATGTGAATTGGGATTTTAATTAGTAACATATTTTTTGCTTTTTGCCTCCCTTTGTATCAAGTTAAAGTTGTGCTGAAATACGAGGTGTGTCTATGGCCTGTGAACCAGACTCTGGTTCCCCACCGTTGGGGAATTAGTGCCAGAGCTCGGGTTCTGGGTGCTCACTCCACGCCAGGCAGTCGTCACGCCTCTCCCGAGGCCAGGCGTCACTCTCAGGCCCCTGGACGTCTGCAGGTAACCCGGTGATGAGACTGTCTCTACATCCTGAGGAGGGCCTGTTAGGGGAGCAGTGTGGCCCTGAAGGTTCCCAGGGATCCCTGTGCGCTCCCAGAAGGGCCCCGGGCCCAGATGACGCATGCGTCGCGGGGTGTCTGTGCCGCCGTGGCAGCCGGCGAGCGCAGGAAGGTGACGGCGCTGTGCCTTGCATCTCCCCCGCAGGCGTGAGCACACGCGGGACCGTGTGCAGGGTCATGGGGGAGAGTTGAGAGCACAGCCGGGCCCGGGAGACCCTGTGGCACTGAGTTGGGGAGCGCCCCTCACCGCGGTGACGCCGTGGCTGTACCAGCTCCCCTCCTCCCCGTGCTGGCCCTCCTGGGTTCCGGGCAGCTGCCAACCCACCTGGGCACCTCCGGAGAGCAGCCCCATCTCTGCACCAGTCACCCTGTCTGCTGCTCTCCGGGGTACAGGGCCTGCGTGGGTGGGGCGTGAGCCACCCACGCTCGGGGACAGGCTGGGAACCAGCGGGAGGGCCACGGGCCGCGGTCTGGGCCTGTGCATGTGCCAGAGGTCGGACACGTAGAGCAAGGCTGGACGTTTGAGTTCGTTTCTAGTTCCACTTTCTTAGAAGCGTGAGTTGTGTTTTTCCTTTGCATAAGTCTGCCAAAAATAAGGACTCGGCGGTTCCGTAGAGGCAGGAACTCCAGCATAAACATTTTATGAGGGGTAAAGAGCAGGGTCTTTCTGATTTTTAGTTGTTATGTGGCGAGCACAGTAATTCTTTAAAAGATGGTGAAATGTCGTAATAGGCGATTCTTTTGATTGAAAGTATAAGGACTTTCGTTTTATTCTTAAACTTGGACCAGGCTCTGTGTGTGTGCACACACTCCCTCAGGCACGTGTGTGCTCCCTCAGGGGTGTGTGTGCACGTGCTCCCTCAGGGGTGTGTGTGTGTGTATGTGCACACGCTCCCTTGGGGTGTGTATGTGTGCACGTGCTCCCCTGGGTGTGTGTGTGTCTGTTGCCGGGATTGTTGCAGGTCTGAGTCAGTGAGGACCTGGGGGGTCTTGTTTTCGGCAGGTGCGCAGCCTTCTCTGTGTCAGCCCCAGGGTTGTGTTACCACGGCACGCCGGGGTTGTCCCTTTTGGTCTGGTTGTGGCGTGGGCGAGGTCTCTGTTGTATTAGGATGCAGGCGAGTGCACAGATCTGGGGGGAAACGCGTGCGCAGCAGCGCCACCCTCCGCTGCCTGCCCTCCTGAGGCTCTGGGCCACAGGCGGCCGCATCGGCGGCGGGCGTGCTGCTTGGTGAAGACAGAAGGGGGTCATGGGGCCGCGGGAGGGGCCCACGCTCGGGTGGGGTCGTCAGGCCTGGTGTGGGAGCCAGCCTGAAAGGCAAAGGTGTGAGCGGATGGCACCTCCCATCTCCTGCAGGAGGGCGGTGCCGGGGGGGACGACAGAGCCCGTGTGTGACTGGGAGCATTTCTGTCACCTTCAGGTGCTGCGTGTGGAACATGCAGGCTTGTGGCCAGAGGGGTGTGAGTGACCAAGCCTGGAGCACACGAACTGTTCGTGTCCACCCTGCAGAGGCCAAGCCCGCGGGTCTCTGGGGATGGCCCATCTCAGTGTCCTCTTTGTTCGTGCCCTTGAGGGTTGTTTTCTCTCTTTAGCTAACGTGTGTGTTGTGAAGGTGGAGGGGACCCCTTACCTCTGTAAAACCGATGAAGTTGGAGAAATCTGCGTCAACTCCAGCGCGACGGCGACAGCATACTATGGGCTGCTTGGGATCACAAAGAACATCTTTGAGGTCCGTGCCTGATCCCTACTTTGTGCTGAAGTCGAGTCCGCAGCTGCGGAGGGGTGGGAGGGGACAGTGTGGCTCTCGGCAGTGCCCGCTCTGGCAGGCCAGCCCTGCGCGGGCGCCTCGTGGCCCTGATGGATCCAGGTTGGCCCAGGGAAGCCGGCCTCTGGGCTGGAGCCGCGGGGTCGTCAGGAGAGTCCAGCGAGTGCCCCCCAGCCCCCAGGCCAGGAGGGGGAGCACGGGCCGTGGAGGCCAGGAGCCTGAAGGGGGTCTCACCAGACGGCAGGGACTCTGGCCCTGGTGGGAGCCCCTTCCCCTCCAGGGAGACGCGGTGATGCCCGTCTGAGGAGCCACGCCCGGCGCGGGCAGCGCATGCCTGGCCCTCTCTCTCGCCCGCCTGCCACTCGCTTGATCCCTGTGGACCACGCCTGACCTTGTCCTCCCCACTCTGTGCAGACTGTCCCAGTCACGGCAACGGGTGCGCCCGTCTCCGACAGACCTTTCACCAGGACGGGGCTGCTGGGCTTCATCGGGCCTGTGAGTATGTCCCGCTGGCAGCCCTGGGCCTGCAGGTGGGCTTAGAGCTGGGGAGGGGTGCTGCTCTGCGTCCCCTGTGCACAGGACCCCCCCGACAGAGTCCCGGCCTCCAGAACGTCACGGGGGCCGAGCTGGGGAGCCCTATCTGTAGCGCAGGAGCATCAAGTCCTTAACAGACTTCACCCTCAGCTGCATTCCTATCTCTGACCTTTCCGGTGCTGATGCCTGCCCTGGGTGCCCGCTC